ATTATTATTTTTTAAATATATGAAGATACAATATTTAAAATATTGAGATTTATATATATATATTTTTCTAATTACAACATTATATACACATAAATATATGTATGATTTTTGGACTTACTAAATATCAAAATTGAGATTTATAATATGAATAAGAACACAATATTTCTAATATAACAAAATATGATCAAATTTATATACCTCAAATATGAAAAAAGAAAAACTTATATGTGGGTGTATGTATACATACATACATATACATATATATATATATATATATATATATATATATATATATAAATAGCACTTATGTCTTTAACTAGATTCCTCCTACCAACTCACAAGTGCATATTCTTTGTTTTATTTTTGGTTGCATGAAAAAGTTAAATAATTAAGTAATAAAGAGATTTGAGGTAATTAATTTGATCAATGTTCAATGTATCAATAATTGACCTTCAAAATAAAAAGGTTTCTCGAGCTGTGCGCTGACCCATCAATATATATATATATACATGTATATATACACATACATATATATATATATGTTAAAAGCTTTAATTTATTTAGGCTTACAATAAACCTAACGAACTAATTAAAACTTAATCGCAATTTAATCACTATAATTTTATTAATATATTAATAAATTAAAATTTTGATTTTACTAAATCAATCGTTACATAACAATTGTTGTTAATTCATAATACACTAAAAAAAATAGTTCGGACTCGTAATTCTAACTAAAATCATTATATTGATTTTTCTAAATAAAATAAATACGTCAAGAAATTGGGCCGAAAAAAATGTAAAATCGGCCCAAATATATATGAAAACTACCCTTTAATAAACAAAATCTAATATAAAATAGTAAGTCAAATTTTTCGTAATTATTTTAGTTAAAATAATTTAATTGTTTCAGAATATTTATTTAATATAAAAAAATACTAAATTTGCTTAATTTTTTTTTTAAAGAAAAATAAATAAATTTACTGAGATTTAGTAACGACAATTCGTATTAATACATTAGTGAATTAAATTTTTAGTTCTATTGAATTAAATATTATAAATTAATTACTTTTAATTTATAATATAATTACAAAATAATAAATTTTTATGTTCTTAATAAAATTTGAACTCATAAAATTTTTAAATTAAATATAAATTTTTTTGACAATTATACTAGTTATGTAATTCTATATCAAGGAATGTTAATCCCACATTGGCTAAATATAAAGATATGTAATGAGTTATATGTATATATATGTGTGTGTGGGTGTGTGTGATTACTAAGTAGGACAAGTAATTTGTTCATATACATCTTCTCTCAATGTGTAATGACTTACATATTATTGCATAACTTTATCTACCATGGACTCCTAATTGTTTAAAGAGACTATAAAACAATATATATATATATATATATATATACAAACATATGTCCATATATACATGTAAACAACAAGAAGACAACCCAGTAAATGCACCAAGCACCCACCAAATCAATCAATTTCATTTGTTAATTACCTTTTGAGGTTAGCAAGGAAAAAAAATTTAATGTTCTAAAATACAGAGAATAAAAATGGGTAATGGTTTTTTTAAGCCAACATTCATTGGAGCAAGAGAAGTCCAACAAGAACTGTTCCCAGAAACCACCAGCACTGAAGATTTCTCCCATACCAAGATGCAACACTCCTATCATCTGCTGATTTGGGTGCAGGGATAGCACCTGCTTCAGGCAGGTTACAAGCTCCAAAAGTCATATTAGCCTGGGAATTAAAGGTGATAAACAGGAGTTAGTACAAAATTCTAAATTGGGTTTTCGTTGTGATCTCATTTCGTCGATGGGTTATCACAATATTCCAAGATATATGTTCAGTTCCTCGCAACATCTACAGTTCAAATGTTACTACCTTTTCAGACCTGAGATAAACTTTTTAAAACTTAAAACTCAAATTCTTACTAATGAAATTACTTGAATCAAGGTGATCACCAAAATCAAGGCTTGCATTCACAGTATCTAATAAGTCTAAAATTGGCACCTTGCAATTCGCAATGTTTCCGCATCCACATATCAGATGACCATTTGTTACATCAACTGCTTCTGGAGCTCCCCCACCATCACTCCTCTGAGATATTCAATGATACGGAAATTAGCAGCACAAACCCAATTTAGGAATCACTATTTTTTTGTAACTTGCTTCGTAAGTAAATCACGTGTACCTTGTAGAAATCAACAGCAATGAAGTTAGGCCACCGGTGACCCCCTGCTTCGTAGCATGTATTGATCATAGTCATCAATGGAGCTGAATTGTGTTTGCAGGCTTGAACTATATCTGGTGAGTCAGGAAAGTAGTTTACTACCACTAGAGACCTCGATATTGTGTTCATGGCAGGTGATTCTGCACGATTTGGACATTTCCCAGCAATCATCCCGCCATTCCCATCTGTAATTAGGCACATATTAACGAGTATTATAATATGAAATTCTTCTCTTTGACCCAGTTAAATTGTGCTATGACACCATGACTCACATTGATTTTCGACTGTGTATCTCCACTGATAAGCAATTCCTTCAGCCGCCTCCTTGCCTGACTTCGAAGTAAACACAACTAAACGCTGGTTCCTCTGGATCATGTCAATTATCGTTGGCCAATTTCCACCAAATTTGGGCATTCGATTAACTGGAAACCAGTACTTCCTCAGGCCAGCAGCATTGAATAATTTAGTCAAGCCATTGGGAGATGTAACATAGTCTTCGATGAAAATAGTGATAATCTCTGTTGGGTTTGCTTCAAGAAATGCTTGAACTTCTTTCAAAACGTTAATGGCAGGTTGCTGATAAATCAGATCAGAATAAACTTAACAGGCACTTTCAAACTTTCAATTTGATTCTAAAAGATCTTAAGATGAATGGTTTTTCAAGTAACAAGCAAAATCGAGTTATTAATTTTTATTAATCTATTTATCTTCAAAATCTCACTGCACTATGATGTTTATTCAAAGAGAATTATGTCATTTAGTATTCCCAAGACATCGTTAGCAAACTTACGAAAGCTGTGTAGTTGAAGCATTTTTGTCCGAAGAGTGACACAACCAGATATTGTTCTGGAAATCATACATGTCCAACATCAAACCTCTTACACCATTCTGCAACAAAAAATCTAACAGTTAAATCTAAATAGTGAACATTTATACCTACTCCGAAACCAAATATTATAGATTTGTTCACGATGTCCTAGAATATCCAATTAATGAACCACACTACCAACCAAAACTTCTGGTAATCAATTTTAACGATCTCAGTCGTTCATGCATTATGCATATAATTTCTCTTTTTTTTTTAACTTTGGCATCAGGATATGTTTTCATATTAGCCTTTATGTATCAAAACCAAATTCTTTGGAGAATGGGTCAAAGACAGAGGAAACAAGGGCGAATTAGAAAATTCATATGAAAAAAACTCGAAACTCACTCTAACAAAACCAAACTCTAAACATGACTTACAGGTTGAAGCTTGCTTATCAATGAGTCAACTCCTTCAAATTATTATGCACATGATTCATCTGACCGTTGTATATTTAAGGAGATTTTCAAATTGAGGAACATTATATGATTAACTTTTTGAAAAGGCCTTGATGCTTGTGTTAGAGAATAAACATGTTGGTTACACTTTTGAAGCCGCAATAATCATCTTGCTTGCCCTAATCAAATTTACGAAACACGCGAAGAAAATGTCTTTACTTGACATTAATTCCTTAAGATTTTATTTTTCTAGCTTAAAAAAGAAGGTTTCGATTCTGCTTTCAGTTAGAAAAGGCAAGCAAAGCTAACGATGAAAGTCAATAACACACCTAATCCTTGCAACAACTTGAGAAAAAAAAAAATACAAAGCTAAGTACTTCACCACTAGAAGATTAAGTCTATTATTCAAAATACTACTGCCAATATTTTAAGTGTGAACTTGATATGATAGTAGATAAAGATTTCAGGTTTTGTTTATTCTCTCTTTGTTTACGCAATGAACTGTTTCCGGGTTTATTTTTGTCAAAGCCTACTTGATGATATTAACCCAATTATATGTCAATCACAAAAAGAGTGAACAATACGAGCATCATATACTCGTATACATTCATCAGAGACTACAAAGGAGAGTTGACAACCATAGTTGACACCTTAAGCTATTATTTCTGTTGCAATCACATTAGTTACCCACCTAAAACCTTCTAATAAACAAACTCCCATGTGGGCAAATTGTATATAGTTTAATAGATCAAACCCACATTTTTTATAAGTTTATTTCAGAATATTCTCAATGTAAACATACCACAAGCAACCCATTACCAAGAAGTTTAAGATCATGAAACTCAGAGCTTAAAAAAGTCAGTTATCTAAAACAATTCTTAATCTTAAAAGTATTAAAAACTTGCCTAGGCTACAAAGTGCTAAAACCAAAGAACAAATCCATCCAAACAGATTCTATATTTCTAACATTTGTCAAAAGAAAAACCAAACAAAATAACACGTGACCGCCAAACTCCCCTTGAAGCCTATTTTCATACCCAAAAGGGTAAACTAAGAAAGAGCATGAAATTATAGTATACCTAGATGTATGTATAGATGTATGGATATATGTGCTGATTAATGAAAAGAAAGGGGAATATTTGTCTCTTAAAGGAATTTCAACATACATTTAACTGACTGGTAATGGAGTCCTGCTGATTGGTAGGAGCAAGAATCAAAGACCCAGTTGCTGATTTCTCACCCAGCCGAGCAAAAGAGTTGTGAGTCGTCAACCAGGAGTATCTGTTGAAAGGAAGCTCCTTTACCTGACCCAAAATCCCAATTCACAGCCATGAACAAAAAGAAGTTGCTTTCAAACACTAACCTCTACAGAATCTGCATATACATTATATATATATATATATATATATATATCTAAAGATAAACGGACCTGAGAAGTGGGAATTAGAGGCTTGATTCTGGTGCATCTCGGCCGTACATTTCCATTAGCAACACAGGTTTCACAGTGTAGACCCGAGTCACAGTTCCCATCTGCTACACATGTATCTCCTTCCTGTGTTTTTACAAGAATTAATCAGAACCTCGAAAGGGAAATTCTAAAAAGAACAAACATAAAATTGCAGAAAGGAAGAAACCTTTCGAGCAGAGATGGAACTGAAGAGAAAAACTGAAGTGACAATGAGGATGACTACCTGTGAATTAATGGTAAACAGGGTTTGTTAACTTTGTTTCTCAAAGAAAAAAAAGAAGAAAGAAGAAAGAAGAAGAAAAAACCCATTTGAGAAGAAGAGATAAGATGGTAACTTTACCTTCATGACTGGCTTTTATGCTGGTTTCCTAAATTGCTTTTGCTTGATATCAAAACCTGGGATGCTGTTTGATGGAGAAACGGAGAGTGTCTTTGTGTATAAATGCATATATAACTATATTTATATACAGACTCTGAAGGATTTGCAGAGGGATGGTTAAAAAGGCAGTCGCTTTTATGCACAGCTTTTACTTCAATAAGTAAAACCAAATTGAATTAAAGTAATGTGATTTCTTTTGAAGAATTCTATTAAAATTTTCTTTTACTGGGAAGTTGCCTGGTATGATTAACACCACTTCTGATTCGGCAAGAAACCTTGAAATTTTTTTCTCATCCAAATTTTTTTAGAGACCTTTTGAGTGTATTACAACTAGTATTTTAGTGTGGAAAGTTCATTAATGTCTTTGAACTTGATATAACCTCAAAGATATTCAACTGGGTTGCTTTTAAGTTTCAAATTTATACAGGAAAATTCATATATATATATATATATAATATGTTCTTTTTCTCTAATTGATACTGATATAGCCTCATAAATATTCAATTTGGGTTGCTTTGAAGTTACAACTTTATATAAAAACAATGACAATATAATACAGATATTATACATTTTAAAACAATAATATTACAATTTAAAAAGAATATATATATATATATGTGTGTGTGTGTGTGTGTGTGTGTGTATATCTGCCAAAAAACAGTGGCACTAGAGGATTAGTAAGAGTATTGATTGTCTGAACTGGTGGGGATCTGTTTCTTCTTAAATGCAGATTGCTTTTGTGGAGGATAATTACAGCTTCCATGAAATTGTTCCTTGCAAGATAAGTATAGTCTATACTGCTCCTCCCATTGAGTCTTTTCATCTGCTCCTCCCATTGAGTCTTTTCATCATTCTCTCATGATGAGTTAATATAACTCGGTAATGAAGTATTATTTTGACGTAATAGAAATCTCCCGTTCGAATCGGATTATTCGTAAATCTAACGAACGTGAGTTTTTCTATGTTTGACTTGCTCTTAAGAATATAATCGAATAAGAATTGACGAGAAACTCGCAGGTTTTACGTGAAAGAGTTGAAATGATTGTATTATTATTATCGTTTTCCGTTTGTTTTACGATTAATCATGTATATTTTTTGATAGAAAATTATAAGTTCGAGCTTGATTATTATCTTAATTAACTTAATTAAAAAATGAAATTGACTTGAAATTAAGATTTTATTTTTATTAAATTTCTATTATGTTTAATATTCGAACTTTGAGAAAAATTTAATTAATTATTTAAGATTTCAAATTGGAGAAAAGGAGAAATTCGTACGTGTGTGTGTGTGTACATATATATATGTATGTATATGTACATGTATGTATAATCTACTACATATATGTTGGATACATAAATTTATATCTGTTATATAAACTATAAAAATGGATCATGCAGGCCCATGCACGTTGATTGATTCAGCCCATACACCTCTATTTCTCACAGGCCTAATTTACTTTAAATTCTGACCGAATTAATTTTTTATATAATAATAACAATTTATTAATCTACCAAATTTCACTAAAAATTAATTTGTAAATTAATGGTTTTAATTTACTTCAACAATTTTTAAATAAAAAATATTAGGTCAAAAATTTTATGATTATCCAAATAAAGAAACCTAAATTTTTCATACGAAATTAAATTCGGTCACTCCAATTCCGCCAACATAAATTAAATTTTTGATTGATTAAATATAAATTAAGCGTAAATTTTAGTGTAAACGTTATAAAAATTTTGATTTTTTTTTTCTGAAATAAAAAAATTAAATCTCAAAAAATATAATGAAAATATATAAAAAAAATGATTGTATTTTTAACCAAATTAAACAGGGTATTTACCATGACTTAGTAAATGTTAACCTTAATCTTTTATTTCGCTTCCGCATTCAGATTATTATATATATATTTTTTTTGAATTTTTGGGATTGTAACAATATATATAGGTAAAAAAGAAAAATTACCATTTTAAAATATGAAGTAATAAAGTTTTATTTTTTTTCTTTTCTTCTTTTTTCTAATTTTCTCTCATTTTCTCTTCTTCCAAACAAGTTATACAAAAATATATTATATTTATGATTCCAAACAGAGGGTGTCCTGGTGGTTTGTGTAGGTCCTTACAGCTTCCACTTTCAAGTATCTCCATTGAAAACATTGAGATAGTTCACATGCTAATAATTCCAAAACAGAAAATTGTTTTCTTTTGGTAAAGCAACATATATATATATATATATATACATACATATATACATGCATACACAGATACACACACACACACACACATATGTATATATATGAGCATATAAAAAAAAGTTAAGATTAGCTTAACTTTTTGTCAGCAACAGAGAGCTCATGACTATAATTTGATATGATTAAGCTTTTATTTATTTGCTTTATTGAATTTAGATAAAACATTATATTATATAAACCAACAGTGTAATCATATATTTAAATCATTAATTATTAATGAATATACATGCATATACATATATATATATATACATATACATACACACACACACTTTCAACATAATATATTCTTGATGGGTTTGTATCATCATTAATTTTTACCATGAAATTCATTAAACATGTGTGGTTTGAATTTTTTTTTACCAAATTTAACAGTAAAAATAAATACAAACCACACTAACTTTGTATCATGTAATTATGTCTTTTTATGTAATTTTCTTTTCCTTAAAGCAATTTTTTTTTTTGAAGCCCATTTGAAAAATGATTTCCTATATGTACATACATATATACACACACACACACATATATATATATATATATGTCTTTATCTATATGTAGTAATATAGACCTTGCACTTAGAGTAAGAATTAATTAATTAATTACCCATTTCATCATCATAAAAAAAAATTAATAAATAGAATGTCTTCATATGTTCAATATGATGCCATTTGGTATATATATATATATATATATGTGTGTGTATATAATTAAAAGTAAAAAGTTCATAAAGTAAAAGTAAAAAAGTAAAAAAAAAAAAAAAACAAAAAACAAAAGGGTAAATACTTTTGGGTAAAACAGTAAAAATAATAATAATTAATTAGAATAATGTTTTTATATGTAATTATGTAGGGAAATGGCACAAGTGAAGGTGTCATTTTTGTCTTACTTATTATATTTTTTTGGCTTCTTTAGCAATAAGAGAATTGATGAATGTATTGCCAACTAAAGTTGGAACAAAGAAAAGAGAGGAATGGCTTTTCATTTTCTTATCCATTTACCCATTGTTATGAGAATCACATACACATATATATACACACACACACATATATATATATATATGTATATACACATATATTTTGGCAGTGATATAGTGGGTTAATATTAGATAAGGGGAATCTTATTCTCACACATGCATATGAGTAAATTTTGATTTAATTATATATATATATATATAATTTTTTTGTCCAAGTTAGTAGTTAGTATATATATATATGCATATATATATATATAAATTATTTTTGCCTGAGACTAAAGTATTATTAAAAAAAATGACAAATTATTAAATTAATTTTCAAAGTTTAATTATTTATTACAAATTAATTTATAATATTTTTTGTCATAATTTAATTTTGAATGTTTTATATTTATTTCAAATGTTAATTTTTAAAATATTTTTTAACGAAAAAAATTAGCAAATTAATTAAATTAACATGTCATTAAGATTAAAAATAATATTAGGTATATTTTTAAAATATTTAGACATTAAATAACTATTTTAGAAAATTTTAGTTATAAAATAAAAAAAAATTAATATTTGAAATAAATAAAAATAAAATATAATATAAAAATATTAAGAACAAAATTATAGTAAGTATAAACTAATTTAATAATTTACTGTACAAAAACAAGTCTGTTTCTAGTTTTTGTTTAAAGAAATTAAATTTATATTCTAAGAGAAAAACCAGAATGAGAGAAAAAATTAGAGAGGAAAGAAAAGAAATTTTCTCATGTCAAGAAAAATTTTCTCTCGATGAATTATAAAAGAAGAACACAGTATCTGAGTTAGCGGACAAAAAGGACCCACTATAACGTGAAAACGGGTCCACGATCTTCAACACAGCGGCATTTAATGGAAACTTGGGCTTCTGCACTCCAAAAGTCGTTCAATTTCCAGAAGAGGTCAAAACCATCGCCACTCTCTCTCTCTCTCCCCTTCACCTCCAAACAACACCAGGTCCCCCTCACCTCTGGTTTTTTTTTTCCACTGTACACTCTCCAGATGTGTTTACGTATATATACATATGTGTATATGTTATATTGTTTATACTCTGTTCTTGTTGTTTCACAACTCATCTCTCTCTTTCTTTGTATTTGGGCAGGATTTTTTCTTCTGAGTCTCTGTCATGGTGGTAAATGGGCGTACATTGTTGTTGGGTTTATTGGCTTTTCTTGGAATTCAGCTTCCTGTAACAATGGCAGGTTAGTTCGTGTAAGCTCTACTTCGTAGTTGAGTTTTTATTTTGTAGTTTGTTTTTATTTTCTCTCTACTCCCGTTTTGGGTAAGTTTTTATTGTTTTTTGTTGTTAAATTTGGAAATCTGGAAATGGGTTTTTTGATTAATACTTGAAAAGTGCTGGAATCTGCTTGGCTTGATTTTTCTTTTGGTGGACACTCAATGTAGTGTATGGTATGTTATGTGGGTTCTGGGGGAGTTACTGGAATTCCTTGATTGATGCATTATGTTGTGGCAGTGGGTTTACACGGAACTTGGTGTTGTTTACTTGGTCTGTTAGATTTTGAGCTGATTGGGAGTCTCCCATGGTAGTATTATTTTTCTTTTTCCCTAGTATTTAGCTTAATGGGGATTTTGCTGAGAAATATTTTGCAACAGGGGTTCTGGGTTTTGTTGTCTGAGTGGACAAGTTGAGCTCAGTGCTTGCAGGCTTTGAATTGCCGGTGGTTAGGTTTCTTTCAAAATTTACACCACGGTTTTTCATGATCCTCGGCCATTTTTGGGAGAGGAAGAAGTATGGAGTTGGAATGAAAAAATGCAGGGTAACTGCTTAGGATGGGTGATGGAGTAAAAGGGAGACAAGGGGAACATTTCACTGTCATTTCTCTCTGAAGTAGCAAATATTTTCTTATGGGGATTTTTTTTTTGTATTATATGACTAATTTAACAGTGTGAATGAGAGTTAAATATTTTTTCATTGTAAGAACAACATTCTCCTTTCTGGGAAGTGTTACTTGTAATCTGAGCTTACAGCATTAGTTGCAAGAACTACTGCTTAATCTTAATGTTTTAATACTGTTATACCTGATATATTAACATCTAACAGCTGAAAGACTAATGTTGATAATTAATATTGCTAGCTCAACCTAGCTACAATGTTCTCCTTTTTCGTTTAGCTTGATAGAGTCTCCTGTTAATATGGAGTTTGAACGGTGTGGTATCCTTCCTATTTTTCAAACTAAATCCTAGTTAACTTTGTCACTATGAACATGATATTAAATAACATGAAACATGCGTAGTGTGGTCATTGTGATTTACTTCACGAGCTCATGCATAGAACACTAGCCCAACTTCACCAAATTTTGCAAAATGCTAAACTTATTTATAAATTGAAAAGGATATGTATATATTCAAAGTTGACACCCATATTGATTAAATGTTCCTCCTACTTTTTCAGATTGCCCCCTGGATGTGAGTGGGTCAAACTTTACACTAGTGGCTTCAATGTGTTCAAATAAAGATGATAGAGGAAAGTGTTGTCGGTATATCAATGCTTTTATTGCAGTTTCTATAGCCCGCTATGCAAATGCAACAAGCAATCTTGGTGTTACTACAGATTCATCTGAAATCTGCCTCAACTCCATATTGCAAACTATGGAACTGTATGGAGTTCCTCGAAATGCCACAGTTTTCTGTGGGCTTGGAACTAAAATTCCTGTAAATTATGATTGTAAGGGTCGGACGACTGTCATGCAGATGCTTCAGTCTCCAAGATTTGAAGATGTTTCAGAAAATTGCAAACTGCCACTTTCAAAGGAAAGTAACTGCAGGAAGTGTTTGAATGCTGGCATTATTTACCTCCATCGACTAGTAGGAACAGAAAATAATATGACATTGAGTACTTGTCGCGATGCAACTTACGCTGCACTTGCAAGTCAAGTAGATGATGCTTCAGCTCTAGAACTTGCCAGCTGTTTCTTTCAAGTGCCGGGGCTTAACGTCACCCGAGGTATGAGAAGTTTCTATATAAGGGTCTTTTTTAATGTGTCAAAATATTTTGCCTTTGTATGAAATAATGTGGATGTCCCCGCATTCCCATCCCCTTTGTCCTTTTTCTGTTGGTCAGATTTTCACTCTTTGGTGTCAGTTTTGCATGTGCATTTCAAAAAAAGTTTTTCACGTGCATGCAAATTTTTCTTCTTGTTAATGTGGTTATTGACTGATGGCAACGGTTCTTTAAATCTTTGAATATATACATAGTACTTGATCAGGTTTTGGAGACTTGATATCATTTCTTTATCACTTGATAATGTCAGTATAGTTTGCACAAATTAATAAAAATTGCAAGGAAGGCTAATATGTGAACCAGAAGAGTGTTTCATATCCCCTTAACAAAAATTATCAATCGATTTTCTGTTAATAGGCATAGAGATATGATTAGGTACACTTGGTGGACCAAAATCAAGAGAAAATTGCAGTCACACCGAGAAGGCAGCTTCTGTTGATTCAAGGGAGGCATTATATGCGGATGAGAACTCGGGTCTGATACTTAAGATGTGTGAATCAGTGCAAGAGGACTCCAGAAAAACAGCCAGATGCTTCTGGGACAAGACATTGATTTAAATTATACTGTCGCTAAAAAAAAGATTAGCCAGCAGCTGTTAACTCCATTGGCACCTGGCCTCCTGTAAGGCCTTTGATGTCATGGGTTTTTACCTGGTGAATTATGCCCATGTTTTGGGACTACCCGAGAAAAAGATAAGAAAAATATGGAGTATGCTCAAAGATACAAAAATATGGAGTATACTCAAAAAAGCTATTCTGTTCAATCATTTTCCCATATGATGTAAATTACTGATTCTAGTGTTACCTATTTAGAACATGCAATATGGTGATGTTTTTTATTTTGTACTTTTCCTATATGCCTTCTTGATCTAGTGTTCATTATTCTTACCAACTCATTTCGTTTTAACTTTGATGATAGTTTCAGAGCCATCTCCACCATCATCTACCCCTAAAGTTTCTCCAAGTCCATTGATTGCTGCTAGCCCGAGCCAACATGTGCAGGCATTGCCCATAAATAGAGATCACCATAGCTTCCATTTGACACTAATTCCAGGTGTTGGCATTGCTGTCACGGCAGTCGCTATTGTGATGCTGATTGTCTTGATAGTCCTTATTCGTAGGAAAAATAGAGAATTAAATGATTCAGAGAGTAAGGATAAGAGCCCTTCAAAGCCCTTCCCTTCTCGTCCTGTATGGAAGTTTCAGGAAGGTGTGACTCTGCTTCTTTGGTAGTTATGTGGTTCTGCAGCCTGGCATATACCAAACATAACTTTTATAGTGCTGCTCTTTTTTTGGGGAGTGGTTACTGAATGCAGGTACTCCAATGTTTCGGAAGTTAAGCTACAAGGAGACAAAAAAGGCAACTGAAAATTTCAACACTGTCATTGGACAAGGAGGATTTGGAACTGTGTACAAAGCTCAATTTAGTGATGGCTTAGTAGCAGCAGTCAAACGGATGAACAAGGTCTCAGAACAAGGGGAGGACGAATTCTGCAGAGAGATAGAGCTCCTTGCAAGACTGCATCATCGTCATCTTGTTTCTCTTAGAGGCTTCTGCATTGAAAAGCATGAGAGGTGACCCATTTTTGCATGCATGTCCATTTAACAGAATTCTATCTAACTGAAAGTATTAAATTTTTTTGCTTGGTTTATGCCAGGTTCCTCATGTACGAGTACATGGAAAATGGAAGCCTAAAGGATCATCTTCATTGTATGCTTCTCAGTTTCTTCAGTTTACTTTTTTTTTTTTAACTTTTACAACCCTGAAGAAAAATAGATAGTAGTGAAAACCTTAAAATGGAAATGGATTATTTCCGTGTTGGTTTCAATAGAATTTGTAATCAATTTCCATGGTTTTGGGCGCAAATACCCTCTTTTTTTCTCCCTCATAATTTCATGCCTTTATTCCTGCTTTTTGTAATACTTTGATATCTTAGGGACTTGATTGACAGCGTGAATGATTCCTTTATGGTCATAAATATATGGA